TTCCAATTTTCAGGGTGTTATGTGACAGTATATGAACAAATACAGTTGATTTGCTCTTAGCACTTCTGCAGCCCATCAGTGATTCTCCATAGGAATGTCAAAATCAAATATACTGTATAAATAAACATGTCTGTATGAGTCTATTATTTAGTATGTCATATCCAATATTAATAATTCATTATATATATATAATGAATTTTCTATAGCTACTTAGCAATAAGCATTGATTGCTTATTTCACCGGCAAATTAAATGCGTTGCTATATTTTCGTTTCCATCTCATAACTGTCATGGCGCCTACCTTAAATCTGAGCGGAGCGGAGTCGCTATGCCGTAGCCTTTAGAGTCTAAGTTCTCTCCGACTTTCATCGTGTCGCACGGCTTGCGGTTATTGATGTAGTCGTTCGTAGTCGACTCCAGCAAAAACGCGTACTTGCCTTTCGACTGGCGCACGCGTTTGACTCCCTCGCTGTTCTTGAAGACAAACACCGATGGTTTTTGCGTCTCCATGTACTGCCACATTGTTTGGTAAACCCCTAGTTTTGACGTCTGAAACAAATGAGTGAAAAAACTGATCTCGTTGCGCTGCGTTGCATAACACTGTGTTTTTTCGTGTTGTGTTGTGAACTATCGTGTCATGTCGTGTGTTTCGCACCGTTCCGTACCATACCATGTCGTGTCGTCGTGTCGTATTACGCTATATGATAGTGTGTTGAATTGCGTTGAATCGTATTTCAATTCTTTACTCCTCCACATTGTTGCTTTGTCATAAAATAGGTACATATGTTATATTAATATATCCTTTGCTCTTCGATACCTGTCACGTGCGTAATAATATTCCGCAGCGTGAGAGAGATCAGGCAGTGAAACAATATTATACACTTGAGCTAACAAATATCAATTTCTAGTTGTCTGGCTCGCGTATTGCAATCATATAGATGTCCCGGACAAATGAGTATATGAAGCTGCTAGGCATGAATCATGTTACGACGGCTAGTATATGCGCTTATATATATGTATATATATATATATATATATATATATATATATATATATACGCACTCCGCTGACGCACTGGGAGTTTTTCTTAGTGAAAGTTACCCTTCGTGGCAAATTTGAGTGAGAAATATACTGAGTGGTGGTGGTGGTTATACTTATACAGTCTCAGCCACCTCTGAGATGCATCAGTAGCTAACACTGTTGTCAGTGTTGGTCTGCACAATTGCCGTTTACACAAGCGTTGTACACAACACATCGTATGAAGCGAGTCATATATATATATATATATATATATATATATATATATATATATATATATATATATATGCATATATATACATACAAAATATTATTAATTTAGAAGCTACACGTTTTTATTTTTGCAGTGCTGTTAGTATATAGGTGTTCGTATATATAAGAGTTTTGCGGTAAAATGGTTAAGAACTTTTGTGCATAAATCAAATGAACGGAGACAAACGAGTTGCAAAGAAGACGCATCTGCATCGCAACTGACGACGCGTAGGTGCTGGTGGGTTTATATATAAACAAGGCCGGTGCAATCACAAAACCAACGTATGTCCGCACAGCGCACACGCGACCGCAAAGAGCACGCACAAGATGAAAAATAATTGTACTTGGCACCAACCTTGGGGAAATATCACATCCTTGCTGCATAAAGGCACCCAGGGAAAACCACAGGCTATTTGAAATATTAAAGTCGTTGACGGCCACCGGCTGGTTGCCGACGTATTCCACGCGCCATTCGTACGGATTAAAGCGCGACACGAGAAACAGAACTATGCTGACGCCGATCAAGGCGAATATAATGCACATCCAGATCTTGTAGGAGAGCGGGTTCATAAACGAGAACACGCCAGGCTTCTGCTTCTCCGGTTTTTTTATCATGATGCTGATGCCGAGATTCATGAACGGCTTCGAGAAGTCGATGACGCGTTCCCGTGCCGACGTTATCGTCAGCGGCGCCACCGCCAGATCGGCTTCCTGAAAACAAACATGGCGACGCGAGTGAGAAAGTCGGCTTCCTGGGAATAACAGGGGTTTTACGACGTTGTTTCGATGGGATAGAGTGGAAAGGTGCAAAGCCGGATCAAGCTAGCGCGGGTCTGTAGCACATAATATATTAATATATGATATATACTAATACTATATATATAATATAATATATCATATATAATTATGTAATCAGTTATAGGGCCCTATCGGCTTCCGAAAAATCCTGCTAAGATTCTGGTTTCCTGAAAAAAAATGGCGACATGGCGCGTGAGAGCCTCGACATTGAATCACACGTTACGACCGTCGGTTGCGATGTGAAAGCGTAGAAAAAACGCGAGCGTGGGGAGGCTCAGATGTGTCGTTCCTGCGCCAGTTTAGGAATGTATAGAATGAATAAATAACAATTTGTGATATGATGCGTTGCGCAATGTTCGAAGGGTGACGCAAGGCTGCCTTCACAGGCAAAACCATCGTGTTTTATCAGGGGAAAGTTGAATAGCGGAGTGTGCGAAGTTGTGCGAGCGAGTATTGAAACAGAATTCATCATACTGACGTCTTCTCTTGAAGATGTATGATTACGGACGATATTGCGGCCATGTCGTTGATAACGAGTTACCGTAAAGCACACGCAGCTAGCACAACGATCATTTCTTACTGGTGATATCTTCTCAAAATAGATGTAATTATAGTAAGCAATTGTCCCCCCCTAATTCGTTCTGCCGAACAAAACAGTCAATCTCAAAACCAACAGAATACGCATGTCCGACTAGACGTCGATCAATCACTAGTGGCTACTTCGCCCTGCTCTTTTAAATCATGTGGGTGCACTTTAGACCTTGTTTCTTAAAATAAACAAAAGACGTACGTCACTGAATCAACGCTCTCCGATCACTGCCGGCTCGCCACGTTCCGTCATCGCCGGAAGCCTTTCGTGACGTTCCGAGTCTTTCACGACGCTTACCTTTGGATTTGAAATTAAAATCTGGCGGCTTACCTCGTTATACAAGGTCGCATGGCAGACCGCCAGTGAGCGTTTCATTGCCCGAGGCAGCGTGAGGCTTCTCTTCGTCCACCGGTAAGGTTAAGGTGCGATCCTATATACTACAGAACTTATCTCGATGAGTGTGAGCTGAGCATCCGTATTGCTAGAATAATGCGTCAATGAGATTAGCTTGATTGATTAATTGATTGGATTATTAATCGATCGATTGATCGATTGTTTGTGGGCGGGTTGGTGGATGGATGGGTGTATGGATGAATAAATGAATGAATGCATGGATAGATGGATGGATGGATGAATGAATGGATGGATGGATGGATGAAGGATGGATGAATGGATGGATGAAGAGATGGATGGATGGATGGAACTGGTGGATACATGGTGGATGGATGGATGGATGGATGGATGGATGGGATGGATGGATGGATGGATGGATGGATGGATGGATGGATGGATGGATGGATGGAGTGGATGGATGGATGGATGGATGGATGGATGGATGGATGGATGGATGGATGGATGGATGGGAATGAGATGGAATGGATGGATGGATGGGGATGGATGGATGGATGGATGGATGGATGGATGGATGGATGGGATGGAATGGATGGATGGATGGATGGCTAATGGATGGATCGGATGGATGAGAGATGATGGATGGATGGATGGATGGGATGGCATAGCATGGTGGATAGATAAATGGATAATAGATGAGTGATGGATGATAGATGAGTAGATGGATGAATGTGGATGTGATTCGATGTGGATGGATGGATCGCGATGGACTGATGGATGAATGATGAATGTGAATAGAATTCGATTGCGAGATGGCGTAAACTGGATGGATTGATGGCTAGATGGATTGATGGCTAGATGGATTGATGGCTAGATGGATTGATGGCTAGATGGTTGATGGCTAGATGGATTGATGGCTAGATGGATGAATAGATGGGTGGATGGATGAATGGGCAGAGGAGCGGACAGGCTGACAAACTAACTAATCGCTGTAAACTAGTAGAAGCACGTACCAGGATTGTAGTTACGCGAACAGTCCTGTTGTCGAATTCTCCTAAGCTTCGCTGATAGATAGGGGAGCCCGCAATGAAGCCATTGGGATGTACCCACCTTCCGATCTGCAGATGTCCACGAAATATAAATCACGGTCAATGTTATTTTGTGCATCTAGTCATATATATATATATATACACATATATATATATATATATATATATATATACATGCATACAATATTGTTGTACGGTTTATTGCCTATCAGTATGGTAGTGAAAAGCATATTCTAACGTTTGTAACACGTATGTGTGTGTAGCTTGCTGTCCTGTCAACATCTATGCGGTAGTTTATTTGTCTAGCCATCCATGAACAAGAATTAACTTGGCTGTTTTGCATTCATGGTCGAAGATCACTATCCAAGTTACGCGAACACCATCGTATAGACGTACTTTAAATACCCCTGAATTGGAAATGGTCATTCGCAATAGATGATGTAAATCATTTAAACTTTAACTCGGGGGTTCTTAACCTGTGCTTCAGGGGGTCCGTGAACCAGGCGCATGCAAAATTTTGTGTTTATGTGCTTATGTGGCATTTTTCTGGGGCGAGGTCAGTAGCTTTCATCAGATTCTCAAAGGGGTCCATGACTCAAAAAGGATAAGAACCACTGCTTTAACTACTGACAGAGGTCGGTAGGCTACAACGATTTTAAACATTTCCAATGTCGTGCGCTGCAATAACTTCATCGATAGATTAAAGATCGATAGATACATAATCGGTATTTTGTTATCATTGCAACTATAGATAATAGATAAATTAAATTAAATTTAAAATTAATTTTTTTAATTTAAAAATTAACTTTTAACTACCTTGAAAAATTCCATCGTTGAGCCGCCTTCTACGGTACCGTACTGAATCTCAGTCTGCTTAATGAGATCGTCGGCACTATTAATAGGCGTCAACATTCTCTCTACTGTAAGAAAAGCAGCCAAGTTTGCCGTATACGACGAAATCATTATAAGCGTGAAGAACCACCAGACCGAACCGACGATCCGACCGGAAAACGATCTGGAATGAAACCGGAACGAAGCGTGAGATCGCGGGAGAATCGGGGGTGCACAGCGGCGGTGCGGCGGGCATGTGCAGGGCGCGTCGTGGCGGTGGCTTAGTCCGCGTTGACGACGGCTGCTGCTGTCCCCACCGTCACCGTGCTGTCACCACTGTCACCACTGTGATGTCACCGTGCTGTTAATTCACCAGCGGCGATGATTAATTATCTAACACGGTGCGGGCGCCGTTTTCATTTTACGGGCACTTGCTTGCATGCATCGGCATCCTACACGAGGCGCATTTGTTTGTAGTTGGGAAACACAGAGCGGGCACCCACGCGTCCGCGCAAACGAATGCATGCACGCACGCACAACACGAACACGTACACACACGCACAGGCACACGCACACACACTCCCGTTACAGCGACACACCACCACACCACACCACACACACACACACACACACACACACACACACACACACACACACTGACACACACACCCACAGCACACACACGCACAGGCACACGCACACACGACCCCGTACACACACAGCCACCAACCCCAGGCCCAACACACACAGGCCACACACAGCTCAGCACCAGTCAGGGCGGCCGCGCGCACACACGTATATATATCGTATATCTATATACTATTATATATATATTAGAAGAGAGGGGATGAGACGACTCAGAGATCTACAAAGATGCACTAGCTGTCCGAAGTGCAATCAGCAATACATTAGCAATTGCGAACGCTAACCCAAGACGTGTCGACGCATCACAGCAATAAGCAGGCACAAACATACCGCATCTACGTATATGTTAATATATACATAGATATCACCGGTACCTTTGTACTGTAGACTGTGGCTGGACTCCTATTACCCTGATCGGATTCGAATTTCAGCTCACGTTTTGACGTATACAGTTAAACATCACGCAACTAACATCCAGCATCAAAACTCACACCAAGTTGCACACCGATAGATAGAGAGGCTCGTTACAACCGGCCCCAACCATGCTGGAAACCTATCGGCAGCGGGCCACTGCGACGCGCTAATAAGTCGGCCAATTTTGAAGAAAAAAAAACAGCAAAAATTTCCCAGCCGAGCCCACTACGACATTTTGGTAAACAACGTCTTACGCATGTCGTGCACCAACCGTGAAAATGCTACGCAATAAAGACATGCTGATACCGTCTCTAAACTTGGGCGGTTTGACCTGCGCTATTTACGGTCGCTTGCACGCATGCTTATACTGGTTTTCATGCTGCGTCAGCCGTGCGGTACGGAACTGGCTTAAATAAATGGCGGGACTTACTCTCGAACTACAACACTAACGGTGCTGCCTACACATGCTATTGTATATATATATATAGATATATATAATATTAATATATATATATATATATATATATATGCATATACTATACCAATACAGAAAATATTATTAATTAGAGAAGCTACACGTTTTTACTTTGCAGGCGTTAGTATAGTAGGGTGCTTCGTATATCATAAGAGTTTTTTGCGGTAAAATGGTTAAGAATTTTGTGGCATAAACCGATAACTGACGGGACACAACGAGTTCTGCAAGCAGCGCTATCGTGCATCGCAACTGACGACGGCGTAGGTGCTGTGGTGGTTTATATATAATGCAAAACAAGGCCGCGTGCAATCACAAACCACCCCCCCAGTATGTCCGCAGCAAGCGCACACGCGACCGGCAGAAGAGAGCAAGCGCACCAAGATGAAAATAATTGTACTTGGCACCAACCTTGGGAAATAGTCACATCCTTGGCTGCATAAAGGCACGCCAGGGAAAAACCAACAGGCTATTTTGACAATATTAAAGGTCGTTGACGCCCACGGCTGGTTGGCCGACGTATTCCCCCGCGCCATTCGTACGGATTATAGCGCGACACGAGAGAACAGAACTATGCTGACGCCGATCAAGGGAAATCTAATGCACATCCAGAAAATCTTGTATGGAGAGCGGGTTCTCATAACGAGAACACGCCAGGGCTTCTGCCTTGCTCCGGTTTTTTGTTCCATGATGCTGATGCACGAGATCATGAACGGCTTCGGAGAAGTCGATGACGCGTTCCGTGCCGATCGTTATCGTCAGCGGCGCCACCGCCAGATCGCTTCCTGAAAACAAACATGGCGACGCGAGTGAGAAAGTCGCTTCCCCCCTGGGAATAACAGGGGTTTTCACGATCGTTGTTTCGGATGTGGATATGAGTGGGAACAGGTGCAAAGCCGGATCAAGCTAGCGACGGGTCATGTAGCACATAATATATTATATATATATATACTAATATATCATATATAATATATATATATATATAAAATATAGTTATAGAAGGGCCCTATCGGCTTCCTGAAAAATGCCTGCTAAGTCGGTTTCCTGAAAAAACATGGCGACATGCGTGAGAGCCTCGACATTGAATCAACGTTACGACGTCGTTGCGATGGGAAAGCGTAGAAAAAACGCGAGCGTGGGAGGCTCAGATGTGTCGTTCCTGCCAGTTTAGGAATGTGATAGAATGAATAATAACAATTTTGATATGATCGTTGCGAATGTTCGAAGGTGACGCAAGGCTGCCTTCAACAGGCAAACCATCGTGTTTATCAGGGGAATTGAATAGCGAGTGTGCGAGTTTGCGAGCGAGTATTGAAATCAGAATTCTATACTGACGTCTCTCTTGAATGTATGATACGGAGATATTGCGCATGTCGTTTGATACGAGTTACCGTAAAAGCACACGCAGCTACCACAACGATCATTTCTTAACTGGTTGATATTTCTCATAAATAGATGTAATTATAGTAAGCAATTTCTAATTCGTTCTACGAACAAAACAGTCATTAAAAACCAACAGAATTACGCCATGTCCGACTAGACGTCGATCACACTAGTGCTATCGCCCTGGCTTTTAAATCAGGTGCACTTAGACCTTGTTTATTAAAATAAACAAAAGACGTACGTCACGAATCAACTCTCCGATCATGCCGCTCCACGTTCCATCGCCGGAAGCCTTTCCGTACGTTCCATCTTTCACGACCTCTACTTTGAATTTGAAATTAATCTTGCTGGCTACCCTCTTTACAAGGTCCATGCAGAAGCCAGTGTAGCGTTCATTGCCCGAGGCAGTGAGCTTCTCTTCGTCCACCGTAAGGTAAGGTGGATCCTATAATACAGAACTTATCTCGATGAGTGTGGCTATGACGTATTGCTAGAAGAATGCGTCATGAGATTAGTTGATTGATTAATTGATTGGATTATTAATCGATCGATTGATCGATTGGTTTGTGGGCGGGTTGGTGGATGGATGGGTGTATGGAATGAATGAAATGAATGAATGCATGGGATATGGAATGGATGATGAGATGGATGGATGGATGAAGATGCGATGATGGATGGATGCTGTGGATGGATGGATGTGTGGTAATGGAGTGGATGATGATATGGACTGGATGGATGGATGATGATGGCATGGATGATAAGAATATGATGGATGGATGGAATGGATGGATGGATGGATGGATGATTGGATGGATGGATGGATGGATGGATGGGATGGAGATGGATGGATGGACTGGAATGGATGGATGGATGGATGGATTGGATGGATGGATGGAGATGGAATCGGAGGATTGGATGTGGATGGATGGAATGGATGGATGGATTGGATGGATGGTATGGATGGATGGATGGATGATGGATGGATGGATGGATGGATGGATGGGTGGAGGAGGATTGGATGAATGGATTGGAGTGGATGGATGGATGAAATGGATGGATGGCTATGGATGGATGCAGGATGGATGGATGGATATGCGATGAGGTGGATGTAGATAGATGAATAAGGATAGATAAGATGGACTGATGAATAGATGAGTGGATGAGTGGATGAATCGATGGATGGATGGATGGATGGATGGATGGATGAATGGATGAATGAATGAATTGATTGCTAGATGGGTAAATGGATGGATTAATGGCTAGATGAATTGATGGCTAGATGGATTGATGGCTAGATGGATTGATGGCTAGATGGATTGATGGCTAGATGGATTGATGGCTAGATGATGATGTTGATGGCTAGATGGTATGGCCTAGATGGATTGAGTGCATAGATGGATGAATAGATTGGTGGATGGATGAAATGGGCAGCAGGAGCGGACAGGCTGACAAACTAACGTAATACGCTCGTAAAACTAGTAGAAGCACGTACCAGGATTGTAGTTACGCGAACAGTCCTGCTTGTCGAATCTCCTAAGGCTTCGACTGGATAGATGGGGGAGCCCGCAAATGAAGCCGTTGGGATGTACGCCCACCGCTTTCCGATCTGCAGATGTCCACGGAAATCATAAATGCACGGTAAATGTTATTTGTGTGCCATCTAATGTCATATATATATATTATATAGTATATATATATATGATATATAATATATATATATATATATACGAGCATAGTCGTGTGTGTGTGTTGTGTGTGTTGTGTTGTGTGGTGGTGCGCGCGCGGTGTGTGGTGTGTGTGTGTGTGTGTAGTGTGTGTGTATGTGGTGTATTATGTGTGTATGTGTGTGCTATGCTGCTGTGGATGTGGTGTGGTATGTGTGTGTATGTGTGTGTACTGTCGTGTGTATGTGTGTGTATGTGTGGTATCGTGTTGTGTTCGTGTGTGTGTGTGTGTGTGGTGTGTGTGTGTGTGTGTGTTGTGTGTATGTGTGATGTAGTGTGTGTGTATGCTTGTATATATGTTGGTGTATGGTGTGTGTAATGTGTGTGTATGTGTGTTGTGTGTGTGTGTTGTGCTGTGGGTGTGAGCGTTGTGTGTGTGTGTTGTGCTGTGTTGTTGTGTGTGTGATGTGTGTGTGTGTGTGTGTGTGTTGTGTGTGTGTGGTGTATCGTGTGTGTGTATGTTATGTATGCTGTGTGTATGTGTGTGTATGTGTTGTGCCGTGTGTGTTGTGTGTGTTGTGTGTCGTGTGTATGTGTGTGTATGTGTGTGTCATTGGTGTATGTGTGTGTATGTGTGTGTGCGTGTGTGTGTGTTATGTGTTGGTGTGTGTGTGTGTGTGTGATGTGTGTGTGTGTGCGTGTGTGGTGTGTTGGTGTGAATGTTGTGTGGTGTTGTGTGTGTGTGTGTATGTTGGTGTGTATTGTGTGTGTATGTGTTGTATGTGTGTGTATGTGTGTGGTGTGTGTGTGTGTGTGTCAGTGTGCTGTGTTGTGTTGGTGCTTGTGTTGTGTAGTGTGGTGTGTGATAGTTGTGTGTCGGTGTGTGTGTGTGTTATGTGTGTGTGTGTGTGTTGTTGTAGTGTATTGTGGTGTTATGTGTGTGTATGGTGTGTGTATGTGTGTGTATGTGTGTGTATGTGTGTGTATGTGTGTGTATGTGTGTGTATATGTGTGTATATGTGTGTATGTGTGTGTATGTGTGTGTATGTGTGTGTGTGTGTGGTGGTGTGTGTGCTGTGTGTGTGTGTGTGGTGTTGTGTTGTGGTGTGTGTGTGTGTTTGTGTGCATAAACACGTGTTCCCGTATTTTACAAATTCGTGCGTGATATGTTTATGATTATTCATGTGTGTGTGACGTACTCTTAAATCCATATTATCTTTTAGCGTAAATTCCCAAACGTCCAAGTGGTAATTTGTCCGCCGTCCTTTCGAATCAAACTGTATAGGTCCTGTCAGCCCGTTAGGAATTGTTACCTGAAACAATAAAAATACATGGCGTTCATATATTGTCAGTGACAAGCCTTTCCGACTACTATAATATTACATTAGTCATTATTAATTAAATTTTCTGGAATATTACCTGCAATATTGGCATAAATTTCATTATCTTTACGCTCAAGTGGTATTATTAACGTAATATTACGGAGGCGATGTATAGAGGGCGCTAGTATGTGATTGCGTTAGTGTGGCCGCCTGGGTATACAGATACGATACAATTAGCGACGATTTTCTCGTATCTATCATAAACAAATGAAAAATTGTCAGATGATGTAATTTCAGATAATAATCTTTACAAACGCTTATTTTAGAACATTTATAAGTCAACGTATAAAAGCTAATCTGATCATACCCATTTTAAGCCATCATATTGATATAATCTTCTAACATTTGTATTTATGAAACTAGAATATATAGCATTGAGCTTGTCATTTCACACTTTTATACACAAAATATTATATTACACATTCTATGTAATAAGGCGGAAAAATAAAGCCTTACGTATTCAATTCGTGAAAACTTTTTTTTACTATATATTACGTATGGAGCCTCGATGTGTTTTTGTGCGTTCACGAGATATTTTACATTCAGGAAAAAAATGTGTATCAAAAACCGCAAATAAATGAAGGTGATTTAATGCCGAATGATAGACATTGAAGCACCAAATGCTTGATTCAATTTTTCTTCACTGTTCCCTAACGTAATTATTTCGTAATTATCGCGACCATATCAAGCCATCATGATTCATGAGCTTAAGCGTAAACGGATGGCGACGCGTGCAGCCAAACCCCTCGGACAGACAAATCCATGGCAATGACTCTCGGCTTAGCGTTTCTCATCAGATGCAAGCTCCTACTTCGCCGAATGATTGCTTTCATGGCGCGCATCCTTCATTGTCGTCTACATTGCACACTCGTGTGATATTATTGCAATCGTGTGGGGAGTTACGTCACACCGAAACCGATCGCTGTTAGCCAATGTCATGACCAGACACTTTATTCATGGCTTTTGTGTAACGCCTTAGAACCCAAGTTTACCGAATTAATGCTTAGGCTTGTGCGCCATTGAATTTTATTTTTAATCGTATACTATGTAGGCCTACATGTACATTCAGCGGAGTATGACAGTAGTGCAACAGCCATTGGTATTACCAGCGTTCCTAATACAGTATGAATGCATGTAACGCAAACCTAAAGCTGCGGCTTTAAAAAGTAATTGTATATCCGTAAATACGACATAAGAGAGGAAAATATTAAATAAATTAATGAAAACAGCAGCACGGCGCTAAACACGTTTCGCATTGGATCCGTTCGATCGTGTCCTGGCCTGAATAAATTAGAAATTAATTCTTCCCCTTATACTGGCATTGAATTTTTACCCTTGATTAATTCCTCCTTGAACATTGATTGTATTAACCCTAAGTTAATAATGTGAGTTTATGTTTGAAAAGCAAATGATTCTACCACAACAACCATAACAGCCACAACGACAATGACAACGACGGCGACGGCGACGACGACGACGACGAAGACGACGAAAGCGACGGCGACGACGAAGACAACGACGACGACCGGCAACCAAACGCCACATCACAACACCGCCATCATTTACAATCTAAAGATTCACTTACAACTTGGCCGCCACATAACGCAGCCTTACATCGCCAGCACGCGTTTACCGCTAGAAAAATGCATTACTCACGCGTTGCATACTCACATTTTTTAAGAACCTGAGGATTTTCTCGCCTCTCTCCCACGGAATCACCTCCGACCTACGACAGTAGATTCCCTTACTGTCCTGATTATACATCTCGTTGCGTCGGAAGTTTTTCTGAAACCTCTCCGGTTTCTGACGTATCATTTCCGTGTAAGCCTCTATTATGACTTTCACGGTATCGTACATGAGCGCGGATGCGTACTATAACACACACAAAAAACGACAGCATGAACAGCAATTAACTAAATGGCGCGCATCGTTGTTAACGCAATTGATTCTGCACTTGGGAATCGATACAAATCTGTTATCGATCGGTGGGACGTGAGGTAATCAGGGTCGCTCTCACTCGTTATCCGGACATGCACACACACGAACTGGTAATTGTCATTAAGAGCGAGGGTAAGCGTATGCTAATGTTATTGAAATAACGAGATAGCATTTGCCGTTCGTTGCGGTTGTGGTATTCCACACGTATATATATATATATATCAGGAGCGTATAATGACAAATATCTTATACGCTCCTGATATATATATACGTGTGTGTAACTGTCATTATACCGCTCCTGATTATATATATAATATATATATATATATATATATATATATAGTGTGTGTTGTGTGTGATGTGCGTGTGTGTGTGTGTCTGCGTTTGCGTAGTGCGTACGCGTGCGCGTGCCGCGTGCGTGTACGTATGCGTAATACGCTGGCGCGTGTGCGTGTGCGTGTGCGTTTGCTATGTGCCGTGTGCGTGTGCGTCGTACGTATACGTGTGCGTGTGCTGTGTGGCGTCGTGTGCGTGTTGCGTGTGCGTGAACGTGCGCGCGCGTTTGTGTGCGTGTGACATTTTAACGTGCGCGCGTCTTCGAATAAAAAAAGAGGGAATGAAATGCGCCTACACTCATACACGACATTTATGGCAATATGTGTTTAGTCTCGCGAGGGCGGTCTAACCACCAAAGGTCTCTTTACGTACACCCGCACCGAGTGCGCTCGCTGCGCGTGCACGTAGCATTACCGATATGCGCGTGTTTCCGGCGCCTATCCAGAAAGTTCTATCAAGATATTTCCATTTGTCCTGCTCGAAAAAGATTCGCATAGCCTCGCTTTTCTTGTCGATGAGCTGAAAGCGGGTGAGGTTGGCTCCGTGATGTTGAAACTGCGCGAGTTTGAGGTCCTCTGACGCCTGCGAACATCAAAAATAAAATCATCGATTGACTGTCGGTTTGTGCGCGTGCACTTTCGGCGCGTAATACAATTTACCGACGGTTTAACAAATTGCCAGCCTGCATAGCAGCCGAGTGCGCGCATCTGTAAAAAATTTATGCGCGGAGCCCGGCGCGATGTGTTGACACAATGCACTGTTTTACCGCCGTGCCTTTTATCGTGGCTTTGCTTCTGTTGACTAGTGACAAGCTATCATAACGCACACGGTGCGCTCGTATCGCGTTTCAAAACGATCATTAAAAATTTACGAGCGGCGGCGTTTTGCGCTGACCGCAGTTCGGTAATTAATCCTCATAAGTCCGCCTAGTCTCGGAGCAAGACAATGGAGCATTTTGCCGTGCGCTCCATAGATGCTTGAACAATGTACGAACACTTGTGTCGGCAGAAATCAGTTCTGTACGGAGCCTAATATTAAAAAGACTGTGATGTGTCAGCTGAAACGGGGTGGGGGTGGGTTGGGGGGCTCTAGCATTTTACGGACTGCAGTGTCGACTACACATATATTTTGTTAAATGGTACAGATCTCGATGTTATTGATAAATCTTTCTTTTTTTGCCACGTTTAACCTGAATATGAGATTGGACTCAAGCGCTATTTTGTACGCGACAATGTAGCTTCGTAGTAACAACGACGCCATTATTATCGTAAGTTTTTCTATGCCATAACACCGTATACCGTTTTAACTCCACTGTAGCACTACCTGTCTAGTGTAGGTGGCGCTGCGTATACTCACATATGTTGTGATGAGGTAGCGATAATTCCTAGATTAGCTAGCGATAATTCGTAGATCAGCTAGCGTAGATGGCGCTGTTTCATACTTACATATGTCGTGATCAGCTAGTGTAGGTGGCGCTGTTTCATACTTTCATATGTCGTGATCAGGTAGTGTAGATGGCGCTGTTTCATACTTACATATGTCGTGATCAGGTAGTGTAGGTGGCGCTGCTTCATACTTACATATGTCGTAATCAGCTAGTGTAGGTGGCGCTGCTTCATACTTACATATGTTGCGATAAGCTAGTGTAGGTGGCGCTGTGTTATACTCACATATGTCGTTATCAGCTAGTGTAGGTGGCGCTGTTCTATACTCACATATGTCGTGATAAGGTAGTGTATATGGCACTCTTCTATACTCACATATGTCGTTATCAGGTAGTGATAATTCCTCGTCGTCATGCCGATGGTAGTCAGAAGGTCCATCACGTACTGCGTCGACTCCAGCGACTTGCAGTCGACGATGAATCGCTTGTTGATCTCTCGGTCGTCCCTGTCCAGCTGCTGCAAGGTGAGCTTGTCGTCACTGTTCCCCTGTATGAGTCGCGGAACTATGATCCGCTTCTCCGACTTCAGGTACTGGTTTAGTCGCTGGAGGTTGAGCAGCCCTGGGAAAGGAGAGAGAGGGGAAGAGGTGATGATGAGAGCGAGCGAGGGGCGGCGACTGATTTACTCGTTATTATGATAGCAATTAATACTAATTGTGTAATTGCTCATTAATTAGATTCGCGGGATTTTGTAATTATCTGAATTCTTTTTCGTAAGACGCTACTTTGCTTTTGTTTAATCTATGCACCGAAAATCAGTAGATCGGTGAGATTTCATCTACCCTTCCCCTTCCCGGTTTGAATCAGGTGGTCAATCTACTTCGTGTTGGTAAATGGCTATTGGCGCTTCTTGTCTTGACACTATAGGCAGGGGCGTAGCACTTTATTGCTTTCTCGGGGGCTTTAACCCGTCGCGTGTGAGCCCCATCCGGGTGCTCTCTCCCTATATATATATATCTGTACGCACACAATAAAACAATGTCGCTCTCGCTGTCTGACACAGCCCATTCCCCGCTAGGCGCGTGAACGCTCGCAAACGAGTAATGGAAATCAAACAGGACTAATTGCAAAACGGAGAAAGCTGTGGCGATAGAGGCTGAGCGCGTTCGAGCGATCTCGAAGCGGAATTCGCACGAGACCAGCTGTCCCTATAGTATGCGTGTTCCCCCCGCTGTCTTCATCTCTAGATGTCACGACGGAAGCGAAGAAGTCAGTAACCACGCGAAATTAATAGAAATTTCATCACAGTAATTCTATCCATTGCATATTTGACAAGATAATTGCCTTACGTTCAAATGGAAATTACTATTACAGTAGAAATCGGTGGTCGGAGCGGTTTCATGGAGGGAGCCGGGACGCGAGCGTATAGCATGTAGGCCGGCGTGCCATTATAGGTATAACGACCATCGATAATACGCAGTGACATGCGGTCCCCTAAGTCGCAGCAGATCGGAAAATAATGTCGCGCTGGGACTTTACTTACGACGGTGGCATGTACGCAAGATTTCCCCATTTCGGGGCATTAAAAGAGTGCATTGACTCACTCCTAAGGGAACATTATACTTCTATATGTTGGGGAACATTAAAAGAGAACATTGACTCACTCACTCCTAAGGGAACATTATACTTCTATATGTTGGGGAACATTAAAAGAGAACATTGACTCACTCACTCCTAAGGGAACATTATACCTCTATATGTTGGGGAACATTAAAAGAGAACATTGACTCACTCACTCTTAAGGGAACATTATACTCCTATATGTTGGGGAACATTAAAAGAGAACACTGACTCACTCACTCCTAAGGGAACATTATACTTCAATCTCCGTTCAGGAAGAAGAACATTAAAAGGGAATATAAACTCACTCTTAAGGGAACATTATACTAGATGTTTGCGAACGTGTCGATTGTGAAGACTTGTTCAAATTACGTGCAAGTATACATACATACACACGCAAACAGCAATCAATTAAATATTTTGATTCGCCTTGTTTGATGTCAACACGTACATTCGAATATTTTATTCTAAGATATCGGATGGGTAAATAAAAAATATAGCGTCGATAGACTGACATACTATACGTCTAGACTAACACCGTAAGTTGTTGAGAATCAAGCTTGTGGGCTCAGCGAAAGGGGTATGTGGAGTCACTCTAACGTTAGCTATGAAACTGTGGCGCCTAGATGAAGAATAGTGTCAGGAAAGGGCTAGATCCTACCTACCACATCCCTATAGATTTTAAATGCCAAGCGTCTTCTTAAAGCGCGCATACAAAGAAAGCAATGAAAAATTGTCGAGAACAACGAAATATGCAGCGGCAGCATCTTATCCTACTGTGCCAATAGCATTTAGGGATGTGTCGAGCATCTTCGGATCTTCAATATGATCAGCATGTTCTGTTCCAAGTCGCAGGCTTCTTTTAGCCGTACAGCGCGCATCACTTGGGACCAGTATGCGCACAACAAGCAAATGCAGAGGAGTTTTCGCGAGAGCGCTAACTCATCAATATTACAAGCGCTCGGCTAGAATCCCGGCGTGTCTAAATTACTTTTTAATCATCGAAAAGCATTCCGTCAAGATTCCATATTAGGTTGAAGCACCAGATCACGAAAACATCAATAAAACTTAGCGCGGTGAAAGATGTACTTGTGTGCGTACTGCGCGCACAGGCAAACACGATCAACGACTCGCCCACGCGTACAACACACATACAGACACGAATAAACGTACGCGCTCATGCATACATACTTGAACGCATACACGCACGTACGCACGCGTGACGACACGCAACGCACGCACGCCACCACGCACGCACGCACGCACGCACGCACGCATGCACCCACCTCACAGCACACGCACGCACGCACGCACGCACGCACGCACGCACGCACGGCACGCACGCACGCACGCACACACACACACATCACACACACACACACACACACACACACACAACACACACACACATAATATATATAATATATATAATATATAATATATAGAAGAGAGAAGAGAGATAGAGAGAGAGAGAGAGAGGAGAGAGAGAGAGAGAGAGAGGAGAGAGAAGAGAGAGAGAGAGAGAGAGAGAGAAGAGAGAGAGAGAGATAAGAGAGGATAGAGAGATAGAGAGATAGAGAGAGAGAGAGAGTGTGTGTGTGTGTGAGAGAGAGACACACAGACAGACACACGCACGCATACACGCGCACATGAACATGCACCCGTTTATATGTAAATCGGGTGCTGCAGCGTGTCGGTTGCGTACATATAAAACAGTAGCTCTCTCTCTCAAAGCTCATTACGATTACAGACACGCGGCTGCACTCGCCATGCATGGCAGATAACGCTATCATTGAAACCATGCTATTGTTGCTCGACTGTCATAATTAGGTTAAGCAAATGGCTATAAGCGTAATTGCGTAACGAGCGCACACGCGCAGTTTACATTTAAACGAATGATTTTCTATCGCGATTACACGAAATACATTGAATTGTTCGATAAATTAGGCAACGACAGTGTTTGTCAATCGGGCAGCTAACTAGCGATGCGTATCTTCTAATTAATACATCCGCCTTAATTCTCAGCGCGTAAGCGATGAGTGCACGCTAAGGGAAGCATTTGAGACGCGGTTCTCTCGCGATTTCACCGGTGTGTCCTACAGAATGCGCGTGTCACCTTGTTATTTTTTCGTAGGTGCGGCTCGGCTTAGGTTTCAGTCGATCTGGCTTCGTTGCGATGCGCGTTTAGATTATCGTGGCTGCTAGATGAATTTGCGACTACATAGAATTATGACCTCATATCGCCTATAACTATTCGCTTGTTCTACATCGTATATAACCCCTTCTGATTGTTATTTATGCTATGCCTCATATATAACGTTTTAATAGTTCAGTCACCAGCTGTATCTGCGCGCCTGCATCGGGACTGTTCAGAGATATATATCGACATATTATAGAAACGATGATTATTCATACTTGATCACGTATACCCGCATGGTATGAGCCTGATTGCCAGCGCATAGCAGTCATTCCACCGGGGTTGAGCTAACTTGATTTATGAGAACTATACGTTATTCAATATATATATATATATATATATAATATGTGTGTGTGTGTGTGTGTGTGTG